TTTTCAATGAGCTATGTATAACACATATGATTACTCGGTAAGTGAATTCAGCGCTCAATTAGTATTGATCATTTAGAAGTTGAATATAGCATTCAGCATTGAAGGTTGTGCTCTTTATTCATGTGATAGTGAAAGCTAGACGCCTTTTCCGAGTTCTAGTACCTGTCACCTGTGGTCAATAACAAATTCAGGGTTTGTAAAAATTGTCAGATAGGAGGATTTTCCGTTTTGTAGCTAGGCATCGGCCATGGTACATGCCATGCGAAATTAAGGCGATAGCAGATCGCGGGCGTCTGTTGTAGATTCTCAAATAAGCCTTGCCAGTTGGTTGGCCTTGTTTTCATGTCATAATACTTAGGATTTCGAAGCTTTGTGCCACATACTTCAAGATGGAGGATAAACATCTCAGCAACACGCGAACAACGGAGCTAGGCCAAGTTAATTTGGCGTTCATGACGAGTGTAGATGAAGGCGACTCCAATGCTAGCCATAAACAAGGAAGGAGCACGCATGTTTCTATTTCAGTCGACAGTGAGAGTTGCCGTTTTTTTAAGAATGATAGTCGCAACGAAGCCTTTATTCTTGGCTCGACTTCCACACCCAAGTATGAGGAAAATGGAAAAGATACTGTTGAAATGAAAACAGATGGAAACAGCACGTCATCTAGCGCTATGATATATGAAGATGACTTGCATGAGTTGACCAACGACCCAGATGCAAGAACATCTTGTCAAACAAGCCAACATAATCAACCTGATAAACATCATGATCCCGATACAAATAAAGCAATTTCGCAAGCATTAGAAACTTCAGACCCTGCAGGAGTGGAGACGAGGAAGAGTAACGAAGTTGTCGTGCCACCCAGGAGAATGTCCTTCGACGAAGGAAGACACCCTTTGATGAATTTCAGTCATAATGGATCGGAGGGTGTGTCCCAAAGTCACAATGAAACCTCTAATTTTGAGCTAGAAGACGAAGGAGCATGCATTTTTAAAAACTTCAGTCTGGAAGAAGCAATAAGTGAAAAAGGTTTGCCTGAAAATTATAGCAAACTATGTTCCACAGGAGGCATTCAGAACGTTTTGAGTGAGAAAAGCCAAAACGGAGCTAACGATCTTGACATTAGCTTGAGATCAGACGGCACCGAATTCTTCTACACACCAGAAGTATCTCCGATGCTAAGCCCTGTTCCAAATGTTGAAGATCAGACGAGAGGCGTCACGTTTAACGAAAGAAGCATAGAAGTAGCACAGGATATATTGGATCGTGATGCCAATGTTGTTGTTGGAGAAACAGAAGAACGAGTTGTCGGCTGCCTCGATCAAGAATACCTACGCTTGATGGTCGACCCTACGAACCAATTTTTCGTACGTATACGAATCTACTTTTTTTGTTGAGTGAGGAACCGTTTCCGTTATCAAGGATAATGTTCTAGGGAGCTTCTTTTGACATCAAGGCACGTCTCCCCAAAGCGTCCTTACGCGTCCCTGTCAGTCGGTGGTGAAGTTGTCCAATGTTTCTATCTATTGTAACTATTTTTGTTTTACATTCCTCTTTCATTTTGTCAAAATATTGAGCAAAATTGTCCAGGGAAGTGTCTGTTGAGGGATGAATGTTGGACTGAAGTTGGCTTGACTTTTGTTTACATTGCATGTGGCCTCTGGAAACATCTGCTGTGTTTATTCATATCATCTGCCTCCTACGTTTGGGCCTAACGCTTTGTTGTAAGCGGTCTCAAAGTTAGATATGAAATTCATCTTGGACAGTAGCGGCGTATCACGAAAAGTCAAAGAATTATACCAGTGGCAATATTTTATCGATTTCAAAATTTATAAAACTGTCGATCGATAGGCGACACGTCAAAAAGCATTTTATGTTTACTAGCGACTGCAAATGAATTGGCCGTTGCAAGATTAAATAATTCTCTATGCATCTTATACCAGAATTTTCTTAAGTGCTATACCTTTATATAAAGTGTTATACTTCTGGTTGCCTTCCTGTCGTTGCACCGACGTGTCAGTGCAAACTATTTCCTATACATACTCGCTCTGAAGTGGAAGATATTTACCTCTGAACATAATTTTCATGTACCCATATATAACACCAAGTTCAGAGTTATGGCTAGTTTTTGCCATCCTTCTTGCTTTATGTTTTTAGCGTGAGTTCAGGTTCTTCTTGGTGTCCTTTCAAATGGCCCACTGTTCAAGTTGTTGTTGCATAACGGTGAGATTTCTCGCAGTTACAGGTCGCTTGTAGTTGGTAGTTTCTTTGAAACAAGGCTTTATTTGATCAGTAGTGGCATGCTTGTACAGATGGCTAGGCACTCAAATCTGACAAAGGCCTTCTTGATCGTGTTCAGTAGCAGCACCAAATGGAGTAGCGGCATCAAATGGAGTATGAGGGGCTAATTCCCCCTAACTTTTGGTCACATTTGCAAACAAAACATGTGCATCCTGCATTTGCTTACAAGTGTAAAACTTGCATACTCTATCTGTAATATTTCTTGAAGAGTTCAAAGTTCTAACATATTTCCTAACGAAGAAATATTTTTGACAAACATCTATTTTAAAATATTATACTTTTTACTGTTTCGTACATTTCATAACAAATATTATTTGACCTTAGATTGACGCTTCTCGCTTACCCTCTCATAGGAATGTGCGCAGTATACAAGATATCCCGCTAAATTTCATTTTAATTCCGTCAATAGTCTCCATGCATATCGCAATTCTGCCATCTTTTTTTCAATCCTAGTTTTACTGTCGGTCACTCTTTGTCTTTCCCTTACTGCCTGCCGTGTAGAATTGTCCACCTTAGTGCTACCTTACTGGTCGTCTTCCACTTTGAATGCCGCTTTGCTTGCTACGAATTTCCCGGCACATTTGCATGATTGTTCTTTTTGTTTTTGTGTTTTCTCGTTACCATAGCGTGATGGTATATCGAACTTGATATGATAAATCAACCCAAAGAGAAGCACAAACGGGCGTCGCTTTTTGTTTTTTTTTCAATGCTGTTCTGATGCAGACAATTCTAGCTAGAAAAATATCTTTTCATCTCAGCTCATATTAGCTTCGTTTTTACTTCTCCTCCTCAGTAAAGATTTCCATCTGGAAATTCTGGTGCGTAGGGCTCTGTTTTCTTGTATGTGCTGGTGCTGCTCATTGTGGAGAAAAGTGTTCTTTTGGAAGGGCTTGTGTCAAGGGTAGATTTCTTCAATGTAAGGGCATACTAGAGGCACACGGTGAAAGGTAACCGCCTTTTATGCAAAAGTAAGCCAAGATGCTTTTTAGTTTCCCCAATTGCAAATAGCACCAATTACCAACAAGTTGGTTCGCGAGTTGGTTTTTGCATCAATGTTTCATGGCATGCGGCTGGTATATGAGATCGAAAGGATGTCCTTGAAGGTTCTTTTTGAAATGTTTCTGGGATTTTCCAAAATTTTTGTCGTCCCCTTATTGTCATACGTAGGGACCTATCCACATGAGATGTGCTGTGTTAGATCTAGGGTTGTGTTAACTTAGCCGATCAACCCCTGATTCGACATGAAACAGAGTCTCGCCCTTTTTGTCCTCTTCTAGGGCGGATAGTTTGTCATTTAAAGCACAGACGTATGGTCTCGAGAGAGTATATGAAAAGGTGCCGACTTTTAATCGCGTCTAATCGCTCTGCTGAGGGGAAGAAAGTATTTATGATCGCATCAACATGAATTTTAGCTTAGCTTTTGCACAAATGTACCGAAAGAAGTAGGTGAAAACCTCGTTTTTGAGTTTTCCTCTGACTGCTTGATTAAGTTCCAGGCGTCATTTTAAAATGGAATCTTGGAAGATTTACATGGTGTTGTGATTAATCAGATAGGGTCACAATGTCACAATTGTACCTTTGAGATTAGTCAGTCTAGTGTTAAGATGCAACAATCCGGAATTCTCTTTTGGTTCTTAAAGACACCTTGGAGATGACTTTTTTCCAACACCTGTTTTGACAGGGAGATCATTAAATTTCATAATAAATGTAAGGTGCTAATTTTATTTATTTATTTGAAAAAAGGAACCTGATTGTCCTTGACGGGGGCTCTGCAAGTACAAAACTCAACGAGATTAGGCATAACTCGTGTCCCTTTGCTTCAGCCTTGAAATTTAGCTGCAATTGTTAAAAAAATATTAAATTTGACGTGACCATTGTTGCTTCAAGCATATGATTTTTCGATGGTGCTTTGGATCAGCTACAATTCGATCAGAAGCAAATTCGATTGAACGTGGAAAGTTTCAGGTCAACGTTCTTTGCGCAGTAAGCAAGACATAAAATCATATCTCATGCTATGTTCCCGTTTTTTCCCCGTATTGTGGGCATGTGTCTCCATTGCAATCCTGCGCACGAAGACAAGTAGAGCTTTAAAGATAAGAAGTATTTGAAAGGCAAATGGTCGCACATTTAAACGCAAGATTGTTAAAGCCAAAAAAGTTTTGAGTCTTGCGAGTGATAAAAAATTTATCTCGTTTTCCAAAGACATCACAATTTAATTCTAAATAAAATCCTTCTTTTTTATGTGTTCGATGTGAATCACTTCCTTTTTGTGATAAGTTGGGTTTTAGTTTGTGAATTTAGGATGTTTTACCGAATTAGCCCTAAAACCCCGTGCGGCTTTTGTCGTAGCATATGGGACCACGCGCCCATCGTTGGTCGGGAAACCTGTTGCAATCTACCCCCGTCTAGTTTTGCTATAAGTTTCCAACCAGTTATCAGACAGCCATCAAAGACTCTTAATAAACCAAAGTTGGTGCTTGAGAGGGACCATAGATGAGAACTGATTAAATCATAACAGTTACCTGTCGTTCGCGAGATTCCTCAAAGAAGGACGAATTCAGTTTAGTAAAGGAGATGTGGTTCGGTCTGAAGAAAAGCAAAGAAGCTTCGCCTTCTAAGCAAGCTCCCATCGATGTCTACAGGCGCGAAGTTCTTACCGTTAATCCAGCATATATCTGGGTAATGTTTTATTGTTTTGACATTTCGCTTGTTATTTCTTGCTCTTATAGAGTCGATAATGAAATGCTTTGCTTCGGTTCATTCAAGAATCTTATATTATGACGTGTCATTAGGAAAGCATTTGCTGAACATGAAGTAAAGAATCACTATTTCAATTCAATGCCTGCCTTGTTTGTCAGTATCAATCGAGAGCATCTAGTATTGAAGGAATACTGCGCATATATTTTTATCGAATGTGAATATTCATAAATGTTTAGACTGGTTTAAGCAACAAGATCATCTACATAAAGTATTTCTAGCTTCTAATTTACTTGATTGCTCATATAATGCTCATAATAGGACAAAGATTTTTTTTGAAATGCGCTTCCGCTCATCCATTACCGTTTCTCGATTTTCACCCATAGGTTAATTTTAGCTGCTCCTAATCATTTATGTACAAGCCTTTTGCTTTCGACCTTTGTATACCACTTCCTCTATTCGAACTTTTCTAAAAGTACCTGCTTCGTTTCTTTAAGCGATTTGTTGCGTCACTGGCTGTTGTTTTGATTAGGTGATTTATTTCAATCTATGTTTAGCCGGTGGTTTTTTGACTCAGCGATACTTCAACTGTAAACTGAACTTTCTCTCGGCTCAGTTATCGTTGTTTTAGGTTAGGGTCTGGTTGATTCTAAAGTCATACCAAGATCATCTTCACGATGTTGTTTTATCGTGTTTGTTTTGTTGCATTATCAGATTGGATTATCAAAAAAATCAGCAACTTGTGGTGTAATTATAAAATAATATAAGCCAATTCAATAGCTTGGTTTCAGATAGAAAATTGGCCTATCTTTCTTTGCCATCTCGATCATCGAAGTTCGAACATCGGTAGCACGAACTTGTCAAACTACCTGCAAATCTCAAACATCTGGATGCCTCCAGCAATGCATTGCGTAATGCTTGTTAGCTTGATATGTCAGAAGCCTTGTTGTCTCACAAGGAAGGTGATAAAAGAAGGGCTTTATAATACGGGGTTTCCAGCAACATACGCTCAATTATTGTTTCTGAAACATTTTTCTGTATTTAATTGTAAGGCTTCCTATGTCACGGACTCAGTTTAGTTAGGACACAGTCATAAGCCAGGAATTAACCATGTTGTTAATAGTGTTATGGGGGTATTGTGAAAAACTTTTAGAAAGCCATGTTCAAAATGGAAGTTTAAATTCGCAAAAAGGAAGCGGTTGTTAATTCTGTGTTGATATTCAATTTTTCGAGAAGTGTTTCTTGATTCTCTGAAAATAGCTGTGAACGTCTTTTGTGATCCGTTCCTTATTAAGATTGAATGTAGTCCATCCAGGGAGCTATTTTCAAAGTACAACGTCATTTCGAGGTGCTTATTAGAACTAGCCTATGGTGTACAATATAACATAATCCTTCGACTTTTTTCTATTTGCTATTCCTTAATTCTTTACTCTACTTTTTGGATAATATGTCACGTCACTACCAATTTATTTCTTTACTCTGGTAGTTCTTGTTTTGATCTGAGAACAGGATCTATTGATGTTTATGTGCCAACCTCTCAGACAGTGTTTCTATAGACACATAATGCAACGGGCTTTATGTTTTTTATGTCGTCTGCTTTAAGAAAATATTTCCGCTTTTGGTAAATTTATCATTCCTATATTTATACTACTATTTTAGGCTCTGTTTCTTGTAACAAACAAGCCTCTTTATGATGTGTCTGGATGGCTTAGTATAGCTGAGCTAAATTAGTAGATACGAGGCACGTATTACTGGCAGTTTTTGTAGCATGATACCACGATGCTAGTTATCTGATCAAGTATCAGGTATAATGGTAATCGGGCGTATTTGAAAATATTTACATAAGTAGATTGTTTGCTCTCTTTTTGTTTCTAATAGCAGGTTTTTCAGTAAACGAAATCAAAGCTGGTCTGATTTGTTATTATAAAAAATGCGAAATACAAAGCTTACACCTGTTAGTTTCTCAAGTAATTTTGGGATCGTTTGAAAGGAGTACGCCCACGGGATAATGCGCGTGACAAGCGGATGTTTTCCCGATGACGATATCAAGGTTGTGTGTCACCACGACCCGCGGTTGCTTTCGATGCCCGTTTCCCTTTTACTTCTTAGTTTCAGCTCGCCGCTAGAAAATATTTATATTCATCTTGTCTGGCCCAGGGCTATAAGCTTAATAGAAGCAAACTTATCTATGTAGATGAGGCTAGATTGACGGACGTTGCGCGCGCTTTTTATTGTTATTGATTGGGTGAAATGGAATGTGAAATGTAACTTGGCAAGGCCACGGCACCCCATGCACATTTATACGTAATGATAGCAAGACTTGTTTTATGATATCCAGCGAATGTCTAGCCATTTTTAGTCAAATATATTCTGAAACTCGATGCTCAAGTATAAGTTTAGAAGTGTCTTTTTACCACATTCAGAGGCAAAGTTGGCCACTAATTTCTTCCCACATTAGACTATATACGTATTTAGTTTCTAAAATTTATGAAACGTCCTTTAAACGGTTTATAGCTATGATGAAATTCCTCTTAATAAAGGGATTTGGTTTCAACAAACTGTTTTCGAGGCTTTACCAAAATTTTGACCTCGTCTTACTCCAGATCTCATCCTGCCCGCATTTACATCTTGTTGAAACGACGACCAATTTTAGGTTTCCTTTTTTGAAATCGTTGGTTTTTGATCGTTTTGTTGTAAGCTTTCGCAAAAAGCATAGTTTCTTTGATATCTAGTATTTTGTACACATTCTATTCAATGCGAAAGAAGAATTAAAAGCCAGTGAATGAATAAGTGTGCGATGTGAACACTATTAATAGCAGTCTTATTGCTCTTTGCTTGGCAGAGAAAATAAAGAACATGCGATGTTGCGTATGAATCGAAGACATCATTGAAGCTTCCGCCCTCTTTCTCTGTCGTTTAACAATCATTTTGTGATTAGGATTAACCTAATTGGATGAGTTTTGGGATGAACTTTAGGCCACCTTTTCCGGGCCACAGCGGTAGATTGATCCACTACTGCTCACGTTTGCGAACATTTGCGATGAATGTTTGTTTATATGACCTCGCTAAAAGATGCAGTCTAAAGAGAAATTCGGGACTATGTATCCTGTGAAGCGGTTGGTTTGCTTTCGTTGTTTTTGGATAGCAGATCTGTTTTCTATCAGCATGTTTTCGTGTAAAAGTGCTTCGGTATGTGAGCATCATTTAAGACGATTTCTTGCTTTGATATAAATCCTTATTTTTTTCCCAATTTAATCTATTAATCGGTAAGTTTATTTAAATCCATTTATATTTTACTGCTGCCTATAACGTTCCTTAAAAAGGGGTTTTCGGGGGTACACATTTCACTTGAAAATCGACGGGGTTTTCACCTTCTATAGCCCTTAATCGATTATTTAGGGGTTCCTACCTTCCTACGTCAAATAATGGCCAATCCCAGCCACCCTAGTCGCTTAACCAAGCGACGGTCAAAACATTGCTTTGTGAATTATCAAAAATTTCACTGATTTGTATACATAGCAATAATTTTCAATGAGTTTTTGTTTTTTAATGATTTTTTGTCAGTTGAGCATATATGCCTGAGTGTCAGTTCAGCTTAAACGACCATATCTTTTTGTAAAGTATATTTTGTCTTTCTTTCATATATCCAAGCGATCCCTTGTCTTCAGACATTTATGTGGGGTGATATCATATTTATAGAAAATGGATTTTGATAGATATGTTTGAGATTAATATCATTTAGAAAATTATTGTTAGATTAAAAGTTGAGCTTTTACTGTCAGTAGTCTTGTTGATTTTGATAAAACCTTACGAGAATCGTAGTGCAAACTATAAGGACTTAATTTCTAAGTTAGATATGGTTTAGCTATGGTATTAAATCTAAGGAAAATCAATCGCAAGTCCTTTTCTATATTTTGCTTTTTACGCCAGTGAAAGCGAATTTTCTTGAAATGAGCTCCTCTGTGACTGGAAACGCTAATAGCATGGAAGCTTGAGGAAATGTAGGTCAGGACGTGTTTTGACGTCTAGGCCCTATCTTGTTGAGCAGTCTTTACTTAACCCGGTATAAGCTTGTAAATCCCATTTTTCAAGAAATTCTTTGTTTATTCCATAATAATATTAATTTTGTGTTTTGAATCGAATTCGCAGATCCCTCCTTTTTCGTCAATGATGTTTTTTGTCTTGCGTGTTTTTGATTAATGAGTAGTTAAACTTGGCGGATGTGTGCATGCTTGTTTTCGAAACAAATTTACTGAATTACATAAAAGATTTTTTGTTGGCTTGATTACTGGCTAATGTGCTGCGATTGGTCGACTCAGCCGGAGATATATGAGTGTATTTGTAATCAGTCCCCCAGGACCTGTTTAAACCTTTAAATCGGTCTGTCTGCTGGTCAAAAGGGCATTTCGAAAGGATGTATCGAAAAGACGTTTCGAAAGGGTGTATCGAAAAAACGTTTCGAAAGGGTTTATCGAAAGGGCGTTTCGACTTCGAAAGGGCGTTTCGACTTCGAAAGGGCATTTCGACTTCGAAAGGGCGTTTCGTAAGGACGTTTCGTAAGGTCGTTTCGTAAGGACGTTTCAAAAGAGTTTAGAAGCAGTCATTTGATACTTGTTTTTGCTGTGTTCCGAGTTTAACACACTCGTTTCCATATTTCTCCCTTGTTGTTACGATCCATACCAAATTGCAATTTTGTTCTATGATAACTTCATTGTTTCATCAACTATGATGCATTTGTATACATATACTATAATGGCAGTTTTATTATATGAAAACAACATTGTTTTATAAATTGTTTCCAGAGCTTCCTTCCCTATTTGTAATCAGTCCCCCCCCCCCAAGTTTCTACTGATACATCACCAAACTTAGATAAAGCCAACAATCATTCGATGCTTTGATATATACATTTATGTATGCATTGTCTCTTTATCGCTCTTTATTTCTACAGCACTGACACCATGTTAAAATATAGCCAGTGCTTTATGCTACCATTTTTTCGTGACACATTGCTTCTTTTAACGATAATTGATTACACTAAGAACCTCTTGACTGTACAAAATGTTCCCTTCCATTTCAGTCAATATCTCCATCTCCCCCCCCCCAATATTTTATTATTGATATTACTGTCCCTGCTACAATTTTCTCCTTTTTCTCCGTCGTTGTCATTCTCTGTTTTTAATGAGGTACAATTAACAAGTTGGAATCCTCTCAAAACGATTTCCTTTTTTTCCAGGGCGATGATCTTGATAGCAGGAAAACATCCGGGACCTCGTCAGAGTATGGCGAGGACGATCTTGAGCAAATACGGGTACAAGCGCTGGAACAACTTGCTGCTGCAAGGGTAATTTACGAGTTTGAGTTTCTTTTTGAGTTCTTGCAAAGCCCCGGTCAAACGACCTCAATAGTTCACTGCTTGATTAGAGAGTCGTTGAGTTCGTTTGCCGGCTTGTTGAGTCTGTCTCAGTCCTGCTCTACGTTCCGCACTTGTGTTTGGTCTTGATGTAGCGGTGAATGACCTTTTTTTACATAAAGGACATTTGAATTATCATCATAAACAGTAATATAAAGTCACACTGTATATTACTGTGCCACAAAAAGTCCTGTAGGCTATTCTGTCTTTTCTAACCTAAGTACCCTAGAAATCTATCTAAATTTGACAGGTTTTAAGCACAGTTGCCAGGTGAGCAAATCCTGTGTTCATAACTTAATTGTTCCTTGCGAGACAAGTGATCTGAATTCATGAATTTGTTTTGTAGGTTTTTCAAGTTTTTCAACTACTAAGATTACATCTCAAATTTCCATTATTTTGGATTGATATTATGATATTGCTCCTTTTTATGTACAAAGAACTAAATATTAGGGTCTTATATCACAATTTTCATAAGCCCAATTGTTTGTCTATGGTAAATTTGGCGGATTTTTATTGAATTATAACACTGGCCCGAATATGGATTAATTTAAGTCGGTGTTTAGTTTCAATCAGAAAGTTTTGATACGATATCTAAAAGTTTTGATAGCTACGAGCAGTTTCATTCATATTTTCAAGAAACGTTGAAAAGACACAGTGTTTTTGGGAGAAAGGCTTTGTTTTGCAAGGGCAGTTTGTGATACTACAAACTTTGAAAGCTGGCAGTTCAAGCAAGCTTTGCGACAACTGAAGTTTCTGTTGCATGATTTTATAATGTATATTGCATAATCCCATCGATAATATTTGCATAGCGCGAGTTGTGTTTTGCAGCTACCATCTGCCTCCAAGCTAATAATTTGCTCGCTTTTAAGGTACTTATAGAAACACGTGGGAGCGTATGAGAAGGTTAATATTTATGATGTTATCAAAAGACAGTTATCTTGCGTAGTGTTGCTGCAACGTATATCTGATTAGTTCTCTGCACGTATGATTTAAGGCAATTCATTGTCAAAATTGCAAGTAACCATTGAACATTTTCCATTTACAAGGCCCGTTTTAATCTTGATATATATTGCTATATTTGTTAGCAAAATCTCCGATGCAAACCAGTAATAACCTCATAAAACTTAATTTTTAAAATTTTTTTTCTCGGCATTATCATATTTTATAAAATACCAAAATCAATTATAGTTGTTACTGATTTCCTGTGATACGATCACATGAGCTAAAGTCTAAAGTCTCTGAAACAGGCCAATAGCAGTAAGCCAATAGTAAAACTTAGGTCTTTGGCTGATCCATATCTCAATCAACTTGCAACAGATTTTAAAAAAGGGATTTAATTATTTTGCACTTAAAGAAGCTATTCACAGTGTGACTTCGGTTTCGATGGTCAAAATTAAAAAAATATGTCCAGTCATCGAAACGTTTTCCACAGCCATTAGTCTTGAGTGTATCTGCGGGGTGATTGGTACCTTGTGCCAAGTCCCGTTGGGTATTCCAAACAGTGTTTTTTGAGGACAATCAGGGCATACTTGCCTGCTGCTAGAATTCATTGCAACCCCTCTGGCATATCTTATAAGGTATCAATGCCACCACATTTCTAGACTTATATTTATTTAAGCCTCCGTCTTAAGCTTCGTTTTTCATTCCACTCCAGCAAAAACCAGTCGCATTTGCCATGCGTGCTAATTATGGCTACAGTGGTGCTGAAGATGATGACTCGCCAGTCCATGGGAGGGCACTTTCATTCGAGCCTAAAGACTTCCTTCATATAAAAGAGGTATAGATCAAATGTTATTTTGTTTGTTTTAAAAACATTTTTTATCATTTATAAAGTCAAAGTCTTATTATTTAATGTTGCTTTAGCAACAAATCCATTCTGATCTTAGCTCCTTTCTGCAGCACGGCATCTTTGAATTAACACCATCTTTTCTTATGAAGTAAAGCTAGGCACATTTATTCATCCCTATTTCGTCGTTTGATTTATCAGTTGTTTTATGATAAATTTTTTCTATTTTATACTGTAATCGTAGATGTATTTATGGTCTTGTACCAAAGGATTTTATGCTTGAATTTATTTCTCTAGAAATTTCTTCATGAATTTTTTAATGAAATTTTTTTTAAGAAATTCAACAATGACTGGCTAATTGGTAGAGTTGTTCGTGAAGGTTGTGACATTGGCTTTATTCCAAGGTAAGCACCCCTTTTTTTTCCTTTTTTCTTTCCACGATAAATATAGACGTTTTTTAGAATTTTCTGTGGTAACTGATGGTTATATGTAATCTGTTGTCGTATGTCATCAGCAAAAATAATTTGGTTTTGTTATTGTTCACACGCTATATTTTTTCGCAGTCCAAGTAAATTAGAAAGCCTGAGGTTGTCTGGCCTAGCCGGAAGAAAACTGAGGTAAGAACCTGCTAGTTACAAATTTTTCCATATTTCAGCTTCACTCACAATTGTTCTTTGCAAATTACGGATAATGATAAACAAAGCTATCTTTCCCTTACCAAAATGAAATATGTCAAAAGTGTAGAACTATTCAACGCGAATATTGACGTAAAACTTAATGAATTTTCAGAGCAAATTTTGAATAGAAAAAAATGTTGTTGTTGCTACTTTTAGAAACTATAATTTAAGTTGTATTAACTTATGTATAAAGTTTTTTAAGATCGATGTTTTTAAAGTTTTAAAAATTATAATTTTATCTTCGATTTGACAAAAAATAAAAAGGCAAGCAGAGATTCGGATGCATTTATTTTGAGTTCAATTTTGTAATTTCAGGCAATCAAGTACAAGCAGCAATTTACATCTTCAAGATGCATTATCTGGAAGCTCACCAAGTGAGTCAAATGTTTCAGTTTTTTATTTGATTATCTTCCAAAAAAATTGTCTAGTATAGTGTTCCCATTTCTGTTTGAAATCTGCGTCTGTTGCTTGTCCACAAGTTAAGGCTCCGATCCTCTGTTTTTCAGAAGAAAGCCTCTGGAAATTTTCAGATTAAGAAGATTTGTGCTTATTATCCTTCCAGAAAATTCAAAAAACGCCTTTAAGACCTGAACTTAATCCTACTAAATAGATATTATGCTCCGTTCCTGGCTGTTGTGCTTGAGGTTATTGAAACACTAGGAGTATCCTTTGCAAAATCCAGAAAAAGCAATCTATATATTAAGTTACAATGATGAGATTTACTGTTTAATAGTCTGTCAAAAAGTGCTCATTGCTGTAAAGGCAGAGTGGTACATGCTATTTGGTTTATAGAACTTGACGGTTCAAAGTTGCTTCTCTGAATGTCGCTCTTGATGTAATCATCAACCAACAGTTTAGTTGACTGTAATTACATGAAATGTGATAAAGTTACAATTATATTGTTTAGCAGTACGATTTTCCAATGCGTTCATGTTCTTGAAGTATAGGCATATTTCAAAAATTGGAAACTAGTATTGTTTGTGAGCGAAAATTTCTAAGTTGTCATAATTCGCATTCAAAAATCCAATCAGAAGAAAGGTTTTGTTTCACATAAGCAACTGAATGGCTCAACTTTATCTACTGACGTTTATGAAACGAGATTGTTTTGCAATTTCAGGTGAAGACAGACAAAATTCTTTTGATGACGATAGTTTACCGCCATCATCTCCAGTTAAAACTGTCAACCAAGGGCAAACCAATAACAAGACCAGTACGAAGAAGGGGATATTCAAGAAGGTACATATTTGAAATAGTTTGAACAATTTCGCTGTGATTACTTCAGCTAATGGTAAAGCTAATACTCATAAAGCATAACAGGGCGTATTGGGACTAACAGCGACTGGGCTAGTCAGTTACCCCCTTTTTATAAAAGCTTGATGTGCCAACAAATATAAAACAACTTAAGAATATGCTACAAATGAAAGCTAAGAAGAGGAAAACAATGTTTTCAAAAATGTTTTCTTGTGTAAACTGATTAGAGCAGATTTTATCGGCAAATCAACGGTGCGGCTAAAAATGTCATTTAACAATGTTTTTTGATCGTCTTAAAAAAAATTGATGGCTTGTAGATGTAGAAAAATCAATGTCGAAATAAAAGCAATTTTAAGAATACCCGAGCTTCGAATTATCGAAAAAATAAGAAAATTTAGTCTTGACAAAAAGTATCTGGTTATTATAAAAGAGTTTACTCGTGGCGACTCGGTAGAAGAGGAAATCATTTCGGTCCAAGTATCGGCTCATTCTGTAACCTTGCAGTTATTGTATCCGTTATGCTATTGCCCATTTGTCTAACTTCCCGCTTTCATCTACAGAGTGACAGTCTCCCACCCTACGATGTTGTGCCGTCCATGAGACCGGTCATCTTTGTTGGTCCATCTCTTAAAGGATATGAGGTATGTTTACTTCCGTGCTTTTGGCTACCCTTCATACTGACGTGCTTCAATGTTCATTGAGAACACATTAGGTGACATAGACGGCTGTACAGAAGGTTGTTTTATATTGAAACCCCAGAAAAACAGTCTTCATTTTGTTTATCTCAGGCAATCGACAGCAGAGTGTTGTGCTCCCTATGTTAAAAGTCAAGCATCTGGTCGTCTTTCCTATTTACAATTAGCTGCTATAATCATAGCAAATTTGTGTTTAAAGGTTCAGCTGCATTGCTGTCCTGGCAGCAACTGATATAAGTCCATGCAGCTGTCAAGAAACGGACATGGCTTTTTATGCAAGTACCTCTGACGCAATTGAAACAATCGACAATTTACTAAAGTAACGAGATGAAAGATTTTTGGAGTAAATCCTGAAGTAGACTGTAAACTAGCTCAGGATTTTGAGTCAAGAAAAAACTACTTTTTGTGAAAGCAGCACGTAACCTGAACTCATGTTTTCGTCTGCATCTTCATGTGTTATTCCAAAATTAAGGTTATTTTTAAGCGATAAAGCTTATGATAGAGCTCTATGCGTTCATTTTTCAGGACAACTAAGATTTTTTTAGAACACTCTTAGAACCCGGTTACTATTGACCATGCAAACCATCAGAATTTAAATCCGAATCGCAAGCATTACAACTCGTAGCAGCTGTAATGTCGTTATGTAACTTTATTCAGATTGACGTAAGCAGACTGTGTTTGATATTTGGTTGGAATTGGCCGAGAGCTAAACAGATCTTGTGGATTATATCATATGTATATCTCTTTAAGAAAGTCCCTGTTAATTTGCCGCAAAACACTTAGCCGCAGAGATATCCGTTCTTATCCGAATTCCAAGATGCTCCCTTGAGTGATAAACATATTTTAATGTCTTTTGTTTATTAACACGTTGGAAACCACACAACTTAGGGAGTTATGTGTCTATAGACTTATATGGTTTCTCGATCTGTTAGTGCAGTTTCTTATGCTTAATCGGTAATTGTTAAGTTGCAATGTACGGAATGTCAAATTATATGATCCTTGTACAACTTCCTACCTATTTTTAAGGATCTACTAAGAAATGGAATGTCATCATATATAATGGAAAACTCATTTATTTAGTGACTTTCACCACACCAATATTCTAGTCCCTAGACCCCTTCCTTGTCATTTGGGTTTCACTCGCTCTTAGCGCTGTTCTCTTGTAACCTTTCTGTCTCCTGCCCTCCCTTGGAGACAACATAATCAAGTTTATTCCCCGGTTTGAAACTATCCAATGTAAGATTTTGAAGCAAAACAAATTCAGCTGCTTCTCTGTCTCTCATTTTGACCCGCGACTCAAGTATCACCCCTTCTTTGAGTTAAACTTCAAAACCATTATAATAATAATAATGATATTTCCTTCAAGGTAACTGACATGATGCAGAAAGCCTTATTTGATTACTTGAAACACAGATTCCAGGGCAGGTAAGCACATACAAATCTCCATACTTAAACAATGGGTATCTGCTCAAGCTGTATCCATATTCCTTTCGTTTGTTTTTCTTTTGTATGCTTATCGGAACCACTATTTTTTGTATTTGATAAGTAAGAAACACGCATTAAATCTGGTGTAGATTGAAAACTGTTGTTTTCATTCAGCAATGAATTGATATAGAAACAGATTTGTACTTGAAAACTCTGAAAAATAATACATTTAAACTTTGTTGATAACATTTCTTTTGTTGAATGAATAATGAAAGCCATCTACGCCCATAGAATAAATGCTATATGCAATGCCATATACCGTAAATCCTTGAATAAGCCCCCACACTCCAATATGCCCCCTTGAATAAGCCCCCACCTAAAAAATTATTTTTGCAAATAAGCTTCCATTCGAATAAGCCCCCATGGGCATAATTTCATAATTTTCAAGAAAGCCCCCACAGGACAATAGCCTTTTTGTAATTTTTCAATTTATTTTATTGAGAAAATTATGTCGTTTCTATGTCGACCTTTGAGGAAAATACTAAACTTTGAAATAAGCCCTCCCCTCAAATAAGCCCCCACCCAAAATTTCATTTTTGCAAATAAGCCCCCGGGGGCTTCTTTGAGGATTTACGATACATCTGCGTTCTTTTCCATTTCCATTGTTATATCGTAATCAATGAATATGTTTGGTTAACAAATAAGGGATTTTTCTTTAGGAATCTGTTTTTCAGGATTTTGATTACTTGCGTAACCACAGACCATAACTTTTACTTTCAGAATTATGATCACTCGCGTAACCGCAGACATAAGCGCTGCCAAAAAGTCAATGATTCAAAATCTGGGAAAAAAGCCAATCATAAAAGAAAGGGGGACGACGCAAGCGACTCAAGGTAACTTATAGAACTCAGATGTGTTTGTGATTTATCTGCAATTTTTTTCTTCAATAATTTTCATTTTCACAACTTTATGACATAGTAAAGCTTTTTGTCTGGAACTCGTGAGAGTATTAAACGTAACAAAACATTGATTGAAACGTTTCATACTCCGAAGAGCATCAAACGAAAAGGTAGAGTATGTCATAAAATGTTTTTCGAAGCTATTTTCAAATTCTGTACTGCCTGAAATTTGTTTGCAAAAGTCCCATGCTTACAACTTCATCGACTATAGCCTCGTATTTTGGATAGTTAGATCTGTATGAACACATATTCCTGTTGCTGTTGCTGTTGCATTTTGCGAATGTGTATTGTTTCACTGTACAAAGGCGATCCAATTAACAGTGTGAAAATTGACAAATTAATTCAACTTACTTATCGATAATTTTTATTGTTATTAATACGAATGCTTAGTCCATGATAGCTCATGATATCAATAAAACACTTAAAGATGGTTTTTATTTTTCAGAAGTGACACAAGAGATCGAGAGAATATTTGAGCTTTGCAGAAACCTTCAATTAGTCGTGCTTGATGCCTACACGGTTAATTATCCAACACAAATTGCGAAAACCTCGTTGGCACCCATTATTGTTTACATCAAAATTTCATCTCCAAAGGTATGTATCATTATATGTACCCAAAGATAAATGCTCCTTGGGTTTTAAAGGAAGTGTGCCGCTGATTGAGCTCTCATTTCTTAGGCTGGAATCAATTTGACTGACTATTTCCACTTGTCACTTTTTCTGATTATCCCTATCTGGAAAAGTGGAAAATGATGTTTTTTTTCTTTACAACTTATACTTTCCTTGTCGTTTTTCATTATATGCTAACGATTTAAGGGCGCCTGGTACACACAGCCTCCCCCTTCATCAAATCCCACTCTTTTGGCCAAAAGCATTCTAGGCGTTACCAATTTGCCCGGAAGTGAACTCGACCCCCGTGTTAGCTTCAACACTTCTGCGTAGTATTGCCCTGTAGGAATTTTTAAACTAGAGCAGCGTTCATCTTTGAGTTTACTTTCAAATGTTCTTTTTTCCTTTGCATAACCAGTGAAAAAATAACATGAGCAAACTGCGAAAGACCCACAATGCACAGCGTGTGGTCATCATATGACCTCATCATGCCTACGACCTACGATAAATATTTTGTTTGTTCCCTTGTGTTTTTTTAATTCATCAGCTGAAAATGATAAAACAGAACCTGGCGTGCAATTTTCTTATCCAACCGAGCAGCTTTTGTGATTAGTTTAGACTGTGGTACTAAAAGCTAGTTTTTTTGTAGACATCATTAAGACATCAGTATGTTTCAACTAATAAAGGTATACATTTCATTTAATTTTCAAGGTGCTTACTCGTCTTGTCAAGTCCAGAGGAAAGTCGCAGTCGAAAAATTTAAATATTCAACTGGTTGCTGCCGAGAAGCTTGCACAATGTAGCGAAGTAAGCATGCAAAGCTATGATTTTACTGAAATTAAATTCCGTGACTCATCCTTCAGTGAACTTACAACCCGGGGAAAATGTTGCTGAGATTTTGCATCGTTCCATCATAAATATTGATATCTTTAACTTGATTTATAGCTTCAACTTTAAATCAGGGGGATAGGTTTCTCACGAGATGTTAGACTGTCCACGCATGCCCGAAATAAGCTTGGCATTTCGAAAATTTTGTCATTTAAAGAGCCAAAGTGAAGAGCCTTGCCATCAAATAATCCACCTTCATATCTTATTATACCAATCTCTGATTGAGTTCCCTGTAGCTATATTGATCAATCTGCCTTTTATAGGACTCGTATGACGTCATTCTTGATGAGACCCAGCTTGAAGACGCGTGTGAGCATTTGGGAGAGTTTCTCGAGGCTTACTGGCGAGCAGCCCATCCTCCGCAGTCTAATTTTGGCCAGGGAGGAGCTGGAACGTATAATGCTAATGGACAACAGGTTGTAGTCAATTATAACAGTATGGACCCATTTAGTACCCAGTCTCCAACTCGTCACCTTCGTACGGCGCAGGTCTAGATTTTCCAATGAGATTGTTAGACCTAGCTTGCTACTGGGTTTATTTTTCTATCAATTGTAATGTTCATCAGTGCGTCGATGCCGAATTGACATGTCACCATCTTCACTCAGTTGATTGATGTCGCCATTTGGCGCAATTACCCAGGTCGAGGCCAGATTTTATAAAGGCCAGGTACATCACATAATCCGATTTATTTGTGAAGTAGGTATGTAATTCAACATTTATTTGACGTGTAGACTTCTTATATGGAATAAAACTCAATGACCCGTTTTCTTATTAGAGACACTGTTAAAGCTGTAGTTGACATTGATGCAGTTACTCCTAAGAAGATATAAGTAACAGGTTACTTATAGATATTTATATGTCACAAGCACCAGGTATCCTAGGCCTAGCAACAAGTGAACTTGCTAAATAATCTTTGAGGCAGTTTATGTAGTTTGTCGTTGAGGAATGTTCATGTAAAGGCTGGGTCAGTTGCTAACGTTTTGACAACTAATGTGCGTTGATTTTTATCAGGACCACGTCTACTTCGATACGTTTTCAAAAGATGCGTTTGCCATTTCGGCTCATTCTGTTTTCAAAAAATTTCACTGTCCAATGTTTGTGTTTAAATCAAATCTTTATTGTTACCTAGAAATGAGAGGTAAAAACATGAAGAAATGGCAGCGTACTTACTTGAAAACGTGTTTCTGTAAACGGTGCCTAAAGGAAACTACGCTTATAAAGTTGACGGCCAGTGAACCAAAATGTTTGGTTTGCTGGTAATTTAAATGGAGACAAACGAGGCTTGAGTCCGTGAGAAATTTCAATAACAGCAACAGGAGAATTATCCTAGCCATTTTAGTTTTCCACGGAATAGCACAGGAATGACTCGCAGAACGCTGTGCGAATTTATGACATGTAAAGTTGTATTTTTCATCAGAATTCGGCGCAAACACATTGAAAAACAAGAGCTTATTATAAGAGTGTTAAGCTACTTGAATATTTAAGTGTTTTTGGGAAATAGCTTTTGTTGTCTCTATGGAAATGAATTACTATAATGCCTGAAGGTTTTTGTGAAATTTGCTAACCGCACTGGAGTTTGGCAGAGTATATCGTTAATTGGTGTTGGAGCTATTGTGGCGAAAAGAGCTGCCTCGCTTGGGAGTCATCGCAGAATTTTCCTCCATTTCCAACTCGCCTCTTGATTGCTATCACCCAAACCATTACTGCAAAGGACGATGACGATTTAAATCTGTTCTGTTATTTCTATATCCAAGCCTCTTCCACTAGCAATAGCCATTGGTTTCGCAAATTCTTGCGTCTTTGTCCTTTAAGAACAGATTTGTTAATGTTAGGGATTGGTCATATTTCTGATAAGATTTATTTGTTAGCAACAAGTGTAAACAAAAAGTGTTCTTAAATGATCAAGAAGTTATTGTTTGAGACCGTAGAATGGTTATCTGGAATATAGGACATCACCCCCTGTTTGTTGCAACATTGTCCCTGTTTGATTCATTTATAACGCTTTAAGTTTAGCAGAAAGGCGAAGCAGCTCTGTTATTGGGCAATGCCGCAATTTCTTAAGATTTGTCAGCAGTATGTATATAGTGAGGTATCATTGACGTAGTCTGTACCCTTGTTGCGTAGTAACACAACCATGTCAGCACATTTTAGAGACAGCAGCCACGCCCATTTGTGATGTATCAGTTTAATGTCCGCACATTTTTTTGAACTTAAGTTGTTAACCAATCTTCCAATATTTTCGGAAGAAGGAAAAGGAGACTTTTTCCTCTCGTATTTATATTTGTTTAATTAATTTACCTTGTAGTTTCTAAGTTCGTGAAAGATGATGATGATAGTACTGATGGGTCTTTTGAAGTTTTAACATCATATCCAATCTGAGGTTTTGCAACGATTGAAGCGCCCTTGAACAGCTACTAATTGTAAATAACGTTTTGTAGCTGTAACCTCGAGGCCTTAGCAGCTGAAAATTTTAAGCTGTGTTATTACATGTCAAAGAGTTCACGAAACTGTCCTCTGTGTCGCCAAATTTCCCTCAGGTTAGAGAAGCTTCTTCGTCGTTGAAATAGGCCTAATGTGGTTTTAATTGCCGTTATGCATTGAGCAAAGGTACCTTGACCAGCGCAGATTTGCGAGCCTTAAGTGCAGTATCAAAACTTCCCTTAAAACACCATTTTCGAAATGACTTTTCACAGGTTTACATAGACAGTGACTTATACTAATTTCTTGTCTTTACGTCCACATTGAGAACCAAAGACTCAATCAACACTGCACCTTCTTGAACCAAATTCAGTATATCAATGAATTGCAGTTATTTCCCATAATGCGATCTTACTCGACCCGAATGTATCACATTTGCAGCAGAAAGGTGCCTGAAGGATGAACTGTTTAAGGCTGTTATTGCTCGGTTTCTTCAGGAAAACGTAACGATCATTGTTTGATTTGTTGATTTAAAGCAGCAATAACTTTAAGTGTTATCAAGCAGTTATCTCGAGACTTGATGCTGTAAATACATGATTACTGTTATAAATAGTTAAACCAAAAACGGCAATTGTTTTTGTTTCATTCTCACTCGGTTATCCATCTTACCAGTGTTATTGTGGAGCTAGTTATTACACAAGGCCACTCGGTCAAGGGTTGCCTTAGGGTAACGCACATCCTTGCACGAGCTTGGTCAAACTTTGCTCTAGTCTGCCATATTCCAGTTTAAAACTTCTTACGTTTTGGTAACAAAATAGGCATAATTGAGACGTTTTGTTTTCAATTTTTCTACCTAAAGTTTTCAGCAACTGGAAGATCATTCACCAAGATGGCGAGAGAAAATTATAAAATATAATAAGTAAAACTCTCCTTGCCTTGCGATAATTTAACTTGATACAAAACAATTTTTTACTGGTGACGTACGATGAAAACAATCAAACTACTTCAGTAAAAGAATTACTACTTCAGAAAGCATTTGGGCGCCCAATTTTAGAAATGCTGACAGAAAGATTGTGCGCTTTTGCTGGTTACTATATCGATTTAAACTGCTGTTATGATTTACAGCTTTTATACTCTATTTGACAGAATAAAATCAAAACATCGACTGAAACAAAACAAAATTGAAAGAAAACCCGTGGTACTGAATTAGGGGCTCCTTTTCCCAAATGACATTTAACTTCTGGGCTAATGGGTTTTTAGTGATTAGCGCTGAAATCCTGTCTGCTCCGCCTACACCTCGGTGCCATTAACTGCATTATTTGTGCGTATGGCTATCTTGTTAAGCAATGGGCGACAAAGGCAAGAACCAAGAGAGCTAGACTAATCCAGGTAATGATCGCTGTAAAATATAGGACGCGTATCTATTTGAAATGACAACTCACTGTCGCAAGAGGGATTTGATGGCGTCATGAATGCCACAGACAAATAAGTCTAAGTGATTTTACCGCCTATAACAGACAATATTCCCCTTCGGAAATCCATAAAATTGCAAAAGTACAATCTAAAGAATCATGTTAGTTACGACCAGTTTCCCCACAAAACTTGAAATTTTCTTGCATTTTGACAATACCATCAAGGAAATACGAAATGCAGAATTTTTTCTGTTTTAGAAAGTTTCAAAAAGATTCTTTAGTGATGATGGATAATTTTCTCAAAATTATTTACAGAATATTTTACCAAGGCTGTAAATTGAAAATATTGTAAAAATTTGAAAAATTTAATCTTAAAAGCATTACTTAATGGTGCATTTTCGTAGCCCCCTACTTTATCGATAAAATGTGTTTTTCTGTTTCAGGTTAATCTCATATATTTAGCTCATTTCCCTTATATTTTTGTCTTGGTGAAACATATTGTTGATATCGTAAACCATCATCTGTATTAGTGCAAGAATTTTTTCAACACAGAAAATTTCAATTACATAGAAATTAGCCAGAAAAACGCTTTAACTTGAGATTTAAGGCAACCATCATATTTGGAGAGTCCAGGAATTTTAAAATTGTGAATATTGTCTAAAAAAGTTTACGGTTTTAGCAACGAAATATCCATTTGAAAATTTTCAAGTTTTCAAGATTTTGGTATTACTGATAAATGTGGGGATGAATTCTTGCGATCAATTTAAAAAAGAATAAAAATGGATTTAAATCTATAATTAGTGTGTATCAAAATGTTTCTTTTTTCAAAGCCAGTCTTCGTCGATCAGTTAGCTTTTTCTGAACCTCTCTAACGTATTTTTCTCTTCAAAACGGTAATTCATTGTCACTGAACTTTCTGACTTACGCATTAATTTAGATTGTTAGTTATTCATCAAATTACCTACCATTTTTTTCATTAACTTAGCGATCGACTTGTAAAAAATAGCTGACACTTATTAACTAATTTTAGGTTGAATCTTAGAAAAGTTTAAGGTTAAGAAATAGGATAGGTAATTGGAAACTTGTAAGCCTTGCGTCAGCTTTTGCTCAAACCGCTTTTGAATTGCCTTACTGTTTTTGCAATCTTGGAACTAATAAGTTACTCAACTACTTCGCTGGCTCGTATGTAGAAATATTGTTTGTTTTTACATTACTCCATTTATTATTTATCTTTACATATATCATGTGTTCACATAAATACTTAAAATTGCATCTCAACCTGTATCTATGACTACAAGACTTCTGAGACAATTTTCTTTTTAGAAATTTGTAATGAATTTTACAGTATGTAAGTGCCATTTAAAGGATTTCGTTGAGCTTTGAGCACAAGAAACTAATGTCAACAGTATCTTTCAAAACTAGACATACACTCTGGAAAAACTTAATTTATATTTTAGGTGTTTCCTAAATTCAAATTTCTAGTATAATCCCTTCGTAATTTAGGTCAATTCGGCAGAGTTTTGGAATGAAAAGGAAAGTATAAAATACAGATGAATTGTATAATTTCTATTTGGTTTTTCTCTTCTTTTGGCACCAACAATGAAATCTGTAGATTCATTGCCATCTTAAGTAATTTATTTTCATTCACGAACTTGATGAATCTATAGTATAATATATCATAAAAGTTTGTAGATTTCCAGAGATCACCGTTTTCTTTGCTTTTTATCGTCTTTCCGTTAATTTCCCGACAAAAATTCTTGGAGAAGAGTCTTTGGCGAAACACCCAGCAATTTGCGTTGTATTTTTATATTTTTCCATTCCTTTCCCAGACACTCCTTTTTCCGCACCCAAAATGATTCATTTATCTCAAAATCAAATAATTCATTTGAATACCATGCAAAATATTCCGAGCTTTTTCCATCTTTGGAAGTTATTATTTGCGATTGATGCCTCGGCGAGTTCCAAGACTCTAATACACCGACATAAGAAATTCTGGCAGTTCATTTGTTGTACGAGAGCTTCAAAAGTTTTATAATCCAAGGAAATTTCTGGTTCGCCTTTTTTATTTTGGAAAACTACCCTCAATGAAAGGAAATCGAAAATTAAGGTTATTTTGAAGATATTTCAAGTTCACTTCGGTTTAACTAACTTAACCAAACTTCTCTGTTTAGGCCCAATGAATGAACTAACTCCACGTAGGTCGCAAACAAACTTCTGAGAGGGTTGGGGCAGAGGGCAGCAAAGACGTACGTCATTAGGTAAAAAGACCAAAATCGTTCTGCCATTAATGTTTACTGTTTGCTTTCATTGCATATTACAAGATACAATAATGTTCTCCCAGCTTGTAGGAGATAACATCAGAATTACTTTCATAAAAAGAGGTCTGTTTCTTGAGTAGGCAACATTGATAACTTACCAACAAAGAATATCAAAAGACAAAATTAAATTAAGCTTTATCGACGCACGTATTGAAATAAAGAGTTAACAATTCTAATCTACGAGAACGAAAATGAAATTTTGAAACAAGAACAATCATCTCAAGGAAACTGGGCAGATAGCACTCTTGTGGTAAATTTGGCATATACTTGATCTCAAGAGCATTTATACTATAGTATCTTTGATCGATTAAGAGAGCTTTTTTCCTGAACCATGATACAATGCAGATTGGAAGCAGCAAAACCGTATTGAGAAAACTTGTACCAACTATCTACCTATCTAGCTTACTGATTCAAGCCAGGCTGATTGCATAAAATATCCGCAGACAATGGTTTTGAAAATGCTATAAAAGGGATCAAATTTCTGAAAAACGGACAAAGTAAAAAAAGCGAAAAGAAAATTATCACTTGTAACAAGGTTGCCTAACACAAGAAAGTAAAATTTTCAGCCTGAACCGAGTGCATGTTAATTGATGAGCAACATTCTAAATTCAAGTTGATATTTTTGGTGCCAAATCGGAAGAGCACTGTGCCCAGCAACCTCGAATCAAATTTTATTTAAGAACAAATTCAACCCAACAAACATATGTCTTCATTCTACTTAAAATACGGCATTGCACCTCTTCAGTGGCTAACTGCTGCTGGTAGCATTGTCATTACAGAACTATGTCCACGACCAAGGTGGATTTCATAAAAACCCACGACTGTAATTCACAGCACATCTAGTGAGCCGCAACTTCAGTTGGTCTTGCTGGATTACTGAAATTCACAAAAGCTGGGAAAGGAACCCTATGGGCAGGCTTGCCCCGTCTCAAGACAAATAGCTATTCAAGGGTTTAAATTCAACAGGGTTTAAATTCAACAGGTTTTCCGTGCAAGGCCGGGGGTTCTCAGTAAAACACACAAGGCTATCGAAAACATGTCGTGGAAAAAATTCTTTCTATACTGCCAGCGTTTAATATCAAAGACAACTGCTGATAACGAAATGCCCAGACAGACTATGCTGGTGGGAATACATTTCTAAATAAAGTTAAAGGGCCCAGTCAGACTACACAAAACTGAAAACAAGCGACTAAATTAGCACATAAAAACTAAGCTCTACAGAAAGTCAGTTGACATAAATTACTTAAAGAAAATAAATTTACGCAGCTCCTTATCTTAAGCATTAGAGGGCACTATAAGATAAAAAGCAAGTTTCCTCTAGGAAATTGTTGATGTCACGCCTCAATGAATTTTAAGGAATGTCCATCGATAAGAAACACTATCTCAAGTTCCGAAGGGCTGGAACATCAACATGTTTATGCATAAAACTAAACCTAAAAATATCTCAAAACTTTTTAAGCCGATTTTTCATCATATATAGATAACACTCATTATGAGGAAGTTCAAAAATTTAGAAATTTATCTAGAGCTAGAATCTAGTCAAAAAGCAGGGTATGCAGTGGCAACAGGGTATGTAATCGCTAGCCTGCTCTATCGATACCTCTGAATATCTAATTAAATTGCCAAACGAAAGCTGACCACTAAAACAAAAGAATGCTATGTATATATTACATTTGAGTGCAATGTTTCACCCTTTCGGCATCACGTCTCTAGCTAAATTTCTGCACCAAAGGATAACGGTTTCTCTGTCAATGAGGACAAATTTCCAGAATTTGGCCCTCGGTTCAACAGTGCACGATATGCCACAGAGCACAAAGAAAAGCTGTACAATTTGATGGTTAAACAATACAATGTTATTAGGACACCCTATATTGCCAAATGATAATTAAAAAGCCAGAAAGGAAAAGACCTCTACACCAGATGGTTTTATATGCATATAAAAAACCAACTCCGTGTCTTTTAGAAAAATTGTAAACAAAAATTACAATGGTAAATGTTGAGCGCAGTAGCTTTAATCGTGCAACTGAGGAGACAGTTAAATTACTTAGGCTCGATTTTTGAATCTAATCGTTTTATGAAACGTTTCAATACGTTTTTAGGTTAATGCGGAGTATGATTTGAAGGCTACGCGAAACTTGAGCTGATGTTATTTATAAGTGTTTCACAAAATAGAAAGCGAAGAGCATTGTGGGTGTTTATAGCCGAAGGGTAAGAGGCTACCAAGGCTATTGCAATTGTTAACGAGGCTACAACTGTGAACGTCATGTATTACATAAAAATCCCCAATCATCATAGCGTGTCACACTATCTACATCATTAAATAATTATAACAACAATAATGTTACAATAAATTTAATTAGCTGACATGTCGAGGAAAAAAAGCAGCACACTGTGGTCTACATGAAATAAGACTTATTTGGAACTCATGGAGGAAACCTCAAGCCTGTAGAGTCTTGACGAAATCACAGGCTGTAATGAGGTTAGCTAAACAATACATTTCCTCTAGCATAACGCTAGAGATCACTTCAAATGGGGAGAACAAGTTGCCCAAGTCCTTCTATCATCAGTTTTCCCATGCCCTTCTATCAACTAACTAAACTGTCCAGAGTTCAAAGCTTCAAAAGGCAGGTTATACCTTACGATTTGGACTTACGGTTATACCTTAACATTTGGACTGAATAACGAAAATCTGAAATTTTCAATGGAACGTCTGATAAATAGGGTGCAAGCAAGGGTGGATCCCTATAGTATTTGGATAGAAGGTCACAATACTGAAATCAACCCATGGATCGTAGTTTCTCCCGTCATATGATTTACCAGGACTATGTGCCTATCCATAGCTAAAATCACAAAAAGACAAAGCTATCTAGAGGCCTTTCTAAAGCAAAATACCGATATCTATTTTTCAGTCATTACTGTGACTGATCTTGCTACACAACTGAACCCCTATCTTCTGTGTACATTACCAAAATGGCTTTTAGATGTATCATGACTCCAAAAGCTGTCTGTCCACGAGGGCTTGAAACCATTTTAAAGATACATTCTGTTCAGTCCACAGCCACATCCTTTTTAGATTTTAGAACTCGGCAACCTCTTTGACATTCCAAAACATGCCAAAAATTTGGTTCAATGGGCAACAATCATGATGATTTTAAATTCAACTCAATCTCCTATTTACAAATGGGCTCGCGCGAGTGTCTAACACAACTGGACTCTTTGCAGCCGCTGTTTTAAGTCTCTCCACCTTGACAACTTTGAAGTAATAAAAAACAGGCGGCCATTTTCTTGCTACCTCGATCAAACACAACCAGAAGAATCCACAACGAGGCTCAGACGAGCCCAACTAACGATACCACACAACAAAACTTTCCATTATCGCAACAAATTACTTAAAACTCCTTTTGATTATGGTAGTATAGAAATAGTTAACAGTCAAATATCATTCTGAAATAAAATCATAAACGTAACAAACATTTTAATAACTTCATCAAAGACAATTTTCTCAAAATATATAACACCTACTAATATAGGCCATAACTCCACATCCTCTTGCAATTGAAGCTTCCCGAAGATTTTGCCCGCAAACAAAAACAGCCAAATTCGAATCAAACAAATCTCGACTCTGCATCGAGCCCGGCATTATCAGCAATAAGGTAATGGTTGCACTGAAGCCATCTTCCATTAAACCCCTAAATATCCAACGAAGAAGAATGTCCAACACTACAAAAATAGGATAACCGCTCTTGTGACAGAGACCTGAGTTGCTTTTCATTCTACATTACCAAATCCTATTTTGTGGCCACAGTGCATCTGCCTAGAAAGAACAAAAAAAAATTACAGTGAATTTCATGCGTTTGGCATGTCATTGCGAAGTCACTGCAGTGTAATGTTTATTAAAAGGACGAGTCGCAATCTGTACACTTTTCCAGGCTACAAGCATTTCAGGTGGCAGTATAGGGTTCCACTAACTCTTTGGATCAAATTGAAGCTACAAGCAATTCTGCCTCACCTATATGAGATAAATTAATTTTCCTCAGCTTGGTGAGCTTCACCTTCTTCTTTTCTGTTATTATTCTGTTCAACATTGGCTTGTGCTTGATTTCCGGTCTTTACCGAGGCTTCGTCTTGTTCTGGCTCGTTCTCTGAAGCTGGTACTGCTTTTGCCCCATTATTTGTCGCTTTGGGGCTGTTCTTAGCGTTTTTATTTAGTCCCTGGTTAGTTGCAGTGGCAGCGGCCCGAGGCTTGGTGGGGGGCGATCGCACAGATCCAGCCTGCGTTGCACCAATGCTTGACTTAGCTGCATACGATTCCTTCGTAGTGGCACTCAATTGCCCACTATACGAGTTACTTCTAGTTCCACTGCTAACGGATTTTTGGTTAATCTTTGAATCTGATGCAATGCGCGAGTCCCGCGGCTGCCTCTGCGGTTTGGGTGACAGCCCTGATTTATCTGAGCTATCAGAGTCTTTTTTCTGTGTGTCTTTTTCTTCAGCACTCGATTTTTGTGAGCTGCTTTTGGCATTTTTCTGTCCATTTTGCGCGTCATCTTTGGTTGAATTCTTCCTGGCCTCCTTTCCGGTTGATGCCTCAGTAGGAGACTTTGATGCAGCTGTTACCTTGAGAATAGGTTTCTGCGCCATCTGCGCGTAACTTGGTTTTAGACTTTGGTTGTTCTCCTTAAAAAGGAATTTAAGAAATACCTTGAAAGATGAGATAGTTTTAACATTTCAGGAAATTAAGGAAAATGTATATAAAAGAGCTGCAGTAGCACACTGATTCTCATTAAAAGTGACTGGAAATAATAATCAAGCGATCTACGATTACATGAGACAAAAAAACAAAACAACGGATTGTATACAGTCAACTCTTGTCTAAAATAAACCGTAATAATCGCAAACTACCAACAACCAGCTTTAACAGAGGACGAACAGAATTTTATAAATACAGAATAAATTTCTGGCAAACGGTGCTTGCAAAAAAGATTGTTTGAGGAATTTTTTAAGAAGAAACCAAGAATGCTCTGTTGCATTAAAGAGTTTTAGTCTAATAGAACTGTTACGAAAACTCAAGTTATGGAAAAAGACTTACCGAAGGAGGTGGTGTCCTGCACGGGGGTGGAGGGGAAGATGCCTGTCCATTTTGAGCAACTTCACTGAAAATCAAGCAAATCTTTATCACTTACAATAGTCAGTTATTGGCAACAAATGTCTGCGAAGTGAATTCATGGTTGAGGACGGCGAGAATGTTAGTTGACAAAAGCATACAAGGGCTAAACCGAAAAGTTCACTCGCTTTTATTCTTTCATTTAAGGAAAGTGACCAGAGTTTTGGTTAACTTGCAGAAGAAAAGACTTAGCGGCCTTTCTACTCTGAATAACGGTAAATATGCTTCAGGATAGCACGAGACTTATATCCGGAAACAGCAATACAAAGATCATGTTAGATTACTGTCGAATGAATAAGATGCATGTAATACCGGGATACTATCACACGATAGATCTGTGATGTGTTTTCCCACCATAGCGATATGCATAACCAAGACTGTGCATTTTATGTTGTAGAAAAACAATCGACATAATGATATTTTAATATTTAGAATATTTGAATCTACCATCTTTGTTAGTTAGTGCCCAATTAAAGGAAAAAAAGGAAAGGTTTCGATAAATTTAACTAACATTGCAAATAACATGAAAATTAATTGCATTGATTGCAAAAAGTAGAAATGTCATACCTGGTTGTTTCATCAACCTTTTCAGCCTAAAACAACATAACAAAAATTTTAATTTTTTAAGATAAAGACTTAATACAACTATATAGATAGCAATCATTAAATACTGAAAAAATCAAAACACATTTGCATGCTGAAATCAGACGTGTTATCGTGGTCAACAGGTGGTTGAGAATGCCTGTGTGCCTAAATATATGTCATAAATAACTGAAAAAAGGAAGACGTGAACTCAGCCGTTGGTATCGCTGTGGTCGGACGAGCACTGCAGGAGGTTAATAAACCATGGAAACTTATGCAGGACCTTGATTTCTACAGAACGCATGATAATAAAACGGCAGTGTTTGCTTACCAGCGTTTAACATTTTCGAACAACAATACCCATTCAGGGAAAGAGATTTTCCAGCAAAGGAAAATTTTATTCAAAAATAAGTATAGAGCCTGGACACCCCCCTCGCTCTTGTAATAGGACTGGACGCTAGTCTACATTACTATGTTAATTTATGTCGCTTGTGTTTAGTATGTATTGTTGTAATAATCTTATGATCATTAGTCAGTTTCGAGTCTCAACACGAGTTGCACGCTATCGTCTTCGCTTCTCACCGCATACGGCTCTTGAGTACACAGCTTTTTTACGGCGATTCATAATGACAAGATTATTTCATGATTTTGAAACAATTGTCCACAAACCTTGATTTCTTGAACCAATTCGGCCTGATGAAGAGCATTGGTTGCCAAATCCTGTCATTTGAGAATATATTAATTTACAATAAGGAAGTTATCTAGACAAGACCATACAAAGAGAAAGGCAATAGATGAGACAATAAAACACACCTAACATACAATGTTTAAAATCTAAACTAATAGGCACACCTTTTCTAGAAGTCATTAGTTTTCACAAACTTTTCAAGGAAAGGTAAAACTGACAAATACTCTGCAACATTAGTTTAACTGCGAGGGTGTGAGTTCTAAATGCAAATGACAGATAAAAAAGTAGCTACATTCTCCAAAGCACAATCAATAAGAAAATACAACTGGTAAGAAAAGCCTTGTGTAAATGATCTGAAAATATTGAATAACACTCGGCCTGGATGTCGAGTGAATTTTAAAACCGTTAGCTGCACATGGATAACGGCAATCAAAGCGTCGCTGTCTGGCTTTTTAGGCCCACTGGAGGAAAGCAATTTCGCGATCTACAATCTAACAATCATTAATTGAATGCCATACTGTCGTTCAGACATAGTAAATCGACACATTGATAAATTCTACCAACTCTATCGTCAAGATTACTTCATGACAGGTTTTTTTGCTAATTTCAAAGAAGCAATTATTACTTGCCAAAAAACGGATAGTCTCCTTAACTTTTTCCAAAAAAATGGGGGAGGGAGATAACACGAATTTGGGCTTAGACGCGGCTGGTTTTCAGGGGGATTGCAAGCCAAAAGACGCACACAGTGGTTAGACTAGACTTGGCATGTTTCCAGGATGGTATCAGGGATATGTATAACGGATATAAAATTACAGACTATAAACGCTGTAACGTTGGAACTAAGTTCAAACCAAGTGTCAGGTCTGTGGTTGGTAATGATTACATATCTGAAAAACACTTTTAAAAAGCATTTGCTTTTCAACATTGGATTTATTTATATACTATCAGACCAGAAATGGCTTAAAGGTTAAGACAATTTGTATTTAATCAGCTCGTGTGTAGCACTGTGCTGCTTTCTGAGACTGGACGAAAATGACTTTGGAAACAGAAACTGTTGACAGGATTGAACTACTCACCTTCAGAGTCGCCGTCTGCAAAGACTTCTCCTAAAAATCAATATATAGAATAAAATATTGACAAAGAGGGCAACAAATATTCATGGGAAAGTTTAAGTCTTAAACCATTTTTGGTAGTATGTTACTTGTTCATTCCAGTAAGAATAGAGGGCGCGTTTCTGAGAAAATGGAGCATTGAGACAAATTGTTCCGACCTTGAAGATATATCGACCTATGATCACGTGCTCATTAATGACGCTGGAATTATTTTGACCAAGCAAATCTTTGATAAACTGATCTAATGGCCAGTTTGTAAACCATACCTATCGTAAGAACTCCCTTATAGAACAGCTGAAAATCTTTTTAAGAACTTAAAAACTTTATAGAATTAAAGAAAACTGAGGTTTGGTGCACAACAAGATGAAATTATAAAAGGGTGTACTCATATAACCATTTGTAATTAATTTGTATCGTAATATGTTATGGGATAAAATTTTGAAAATGCAACTACGTACGTTTGGCGAAATGGGACTAGGCAGGGCCGGGAAATGCTCTGAAGCCAGGTCGATACTCAAGTTATTAATGACATTTTCCAGAGAATTCTGTTCCATTTGTCTGCGTTCTCTTTCCCTTAGCCGCTGCAGTGGAAAGAAAATAGTAAGCTCAAGCTAACGGGTTTGAATTGTTATTTACAAAGTAGATTGATCTCTTTAAATGTATAACATTTATATGATAAAAAATGCATTGCCTTGGAGAATTATAATAAGGATAACAATATATAATGATACTTCTTATAAAAAATAATAAGTAATTTTGTTCTTTAGAAATTAAAGATGATGTAACACATATACATAGTTTGCACAATAAACTTTATTTTTTACACTAGTGGCTATAATCAAATATGTTTAGACCTAAAACGATTCAATGCACTTTTGGCTGAGCCATGGAAACAACTTCCAATTTTTTAGGAGAATGAATTATGCAGCAAGGCAAATAGATGCAATTGCTTGAATGGATATTCCAGTTTGCTTTAGATATTCCTTCTATTAGCAAAGGTATCGACGTTATCAATGTTCAAGGCTAACATATCTAAACAGGACAGCAAAAAGGAGCTAACCTGGAAACGCGGCACAACCTCTTCTCTTTTGTTTCTCGCTGGGTACATACGGCGCAAATAGGAATCATTATTATCTTTATGTATATAGTTGCTGCCTCCTCCATTGCGGTGATTTTGCGCAGGCCTCCGTGAGCTGTTGTTGCTCATGTTGTTACTTGATGGTCGGTCATCTTTTTCTGAAAGTCGATCAGCGTTGTCCGCTTTGAAGAATGTTTTTGTCTGCATACGTTGTTTTGTGGTGGCAAAGAAAGGCCTTGGTCCAGTTATGGTGACTAAGAAAAAACAGTTAATAAAATAATCATAATAAAACATTTACGCAAAACAAATATCCATTCGACAAGGCTCATATTAGATCTTTTAGTCTAAGCCTACGCAAAGTCAAGTGTCCTTATTGATCAAATAGCAAAAACCTTGTATTTCTAAATTCTTTGTGGGATACTAGCTACTACTTAGCAAACCTAACGGATTTAAATTAGGTTTCAATCTGTAGCTGTTCAAACTGTTGTGAATGACTGAGCACGCAGTCACGTTTTCTCGGAATACAACAACACAACTGACCAATATGTGGTGAAAGTAAAGGAAACAAATTAGTTTTTGTATGCTATTATCTTCGTTACAACAATTTAGCTCAAGGGATCAACAGTAAGTCTTTATGGGCTACTGAGATTCACGGGTTTAAAAAATCGGTTCAACCTTTATTAAAAGAAGAAATATTTCCGGCAAAGAAAGTTATTCCATTTCACTTACTTGGTTTGACGAAGTTTGGTGAACTTGGGATCATCTAAAAGTAAAATAAGGCTTTGAGCATTTTGAAAAACAAGAAAAGGCGGGCAGAATTCTTAGGACAGTGAGATGAATGTAGATGTAAATTCACAGAGCTATCCAGTATTAAGGAAAACATAGTAAAGATTCAAGCCGAGAATGATGCCAATATACGACTCAAGGACAAGAACAAGACTGCTTTCTTTCAAATTCCTCTGTTACCTTATCATTTAATTCTTTCAAAGCTGACAGTTAGCTCCTGCCATTCAAAGGACAGGAAATTCTGTCGCATAAACGAAACTTACTTCTGGTGGAAAAACTGCTGTCTTGAATCTATCCATGCGGTCTGCACAATAGTTCCCGGTGGGTAATAAGGAAAAGGTTGCTGACCTCCAATGACTGGCGCAGGAACAGTAAACGTATTGAACTGCCTTTGTGAGAAGACTTGCTGTGGTGGCGGTTGCGGTTGCGGAGAAGTTTCAGGCTGGCTTGCAGAGGCTTGACCGGTGCTTGGTGGGCGAACCAAGGTGGTCCTGCTAAGCAGCGTCTTTGCTTTTATCCTTGCCATAATTGGCTTACCGTGGAATGTTTTCACTTCTTCTCTAAGGTATCGGTAGGCCTAAAATAAAAAAGAATGAAATTTATCCTCTTCAAACTACCAAATCATAAACATGTCGCTGAAAACTATGTGCACAGAAAATTTACGATGCAACATGACTCTGTCTAGGCAAAGATTATCTTTGAAAAATGGTGACTAAAAAGAATTCAAAAAATTTATGGAAGTGAATAAAAATTCCCACTGCAAATACAGACCACCGCCGTAAAAATGTAAAACTTGAGCACAAAATCTACCCTGAGCTACAATTATAAATACTCTTGTAAACAGACAATAAACAGCACGATCAACCATACACAAGAAAACTTTTTATAAAAAAAGCATTCCAAATATAATTATTAAAGCCAGATGATTCAGGGGGTAGCGAAAGCTTGGCACTTTAGATGTGCATGTATCAATTAAATATGTCTAGCTTTTTACTTATGTTTCATAACTTTAGAAGATACAGATATGAAACAAGGTTTACTAGTACCTTTTGTGCATCTTCTTCTGTATCGAAAGTCACATACCAACTGTTGTTGTGAGCAAACTCACAATTCGTATACTTTGGACAATTAGGGGAGTTGAATAGATCCTCAACTTCCTGTAGAACAACAGAATAAACAACCATAACAAATGTCAACATTCATTGTATAAAATGCTTGATTGGATTTTTCAGGTCTCGTAACTGGGGGGGGGGAGGGGCTGGTCAAAAGAAACTTGTGGGAGGGCCACAATCTTCGGATATTTTAAGTGACAAGCTTGTAATTTATTTCAACTCTTCAAATTGGCATAACAAGCTAGCACAATGGGTTTTTTGTGCTTATTGAGTACTTTCTACCTCAAGAACTGTTCTATTACCTAGGGACAATAGTTGTAAGGAAATTTAGCATAGTGACCTTCAATAAGGAGTTATTCAGTATGACAGTATGAAAAAACTCACTCGTGCAAAGATCCTCTTCTTTTAAAGAGGATGCTAAAAATTAAATCGCCATCTGTATTTTGTCAATACTATGGATGCATTGCCGAAAACATTTTAATTCACCCGCTTTGTTTTATAGTTAAGTTGATGTTTTGGTTATGCTGGTAAAGTTATATTTACGAAAACATAATCCCATATTCTGCTCGCAAAACCTCTTAATGCATACAGACTATAGCATCGCAAACCAAATTTTAACCTTCTAAATCCCCTCTGTTATACTTTGTTACCAGCCGGCTAGTTGGTACTTAACACCTTAGGCCTGATGTCATGTTTTATCTACCGACAATGCTGCTTTAGGTCCACTAGCTGTTAACTAGCCAATCAGTGAGCTCGTTACGAGTCCTGTACCCATACCCCGTAGCCAATCAATGAGCTCATTGCGAGTCCTGTACCCCAATATATATTTTTAAATTATGCCTAGCAAAACAAGGTAACACGATTGTAAAACAAACTCATGCGCCTTTGAAGCACAGGAGAAAATCCACTCGCACTCCCATGCCAGTTATCCTCGCACTAAACAGTGACATCCCATAACAACATTAATTCTAGGTTTAAAAAATGAGACGGATTGCAATATCAGAGTAATTTAAACAAGGAAGCGGAACGGGTAGATCGGGGAAAAACCTAACCTGAATATAATTTAGTCATAATTGCAAAACTTTCAGGATAAGCTCCTTACTTGGATGGGTGTCGAGTCTGGTATCTCCCTCAGGATGACGATACATCTTTTGACATTGGCACGAACTTTTTCGCCATTCTCGTCCAACTGAATGTGTTGTGAATCTAACGAGAAATTTTGCCACCAATATACTTCCAATCCAGAATTGAAACATTAATCAGACAGAGCAAAAACTAAATCGAATGTATAACCCTCAAAGTGCGCTCATAATTTTCTGAATATATATAAAAATATATATAAATTCTAAAGACGTTAGATCCATCAAAACTTTTAGAGAAATGACTGTTGTGTTCAATTGTAAATTTTAATGCTTCTTCAGTTGATCTTTTTGCTTTCAATCAGTGGCTTAAAACGTCGAAAGTAGCGAGAAATGTATAGTATTCTAAAAGGAACATCAAACTGGCTAGAAAAATCTGAGCCACGTAATAAACGTTAGTACAAATTGAGTAAGAATCTTTATCTCTCTGTGGTAATTTTTCGATAAAATACGCCTTCGACCAAAAGGCCATTTGCTAATTCAAGAAAAAAATTACGATTCAGATACGGTAGGATTGTTGTAATACAACGTTCAAGGAATATGTCAAAAACAAGTAAAAACAAAAAATAAATTACACTGGGCTTTATCAGCAATTCTGATTCCAATTATTGTAAATAAAGGGCTGTTTTGACTGGATAAGTGTTTTACAAACAAAGTTTTTATCGAGAGATCTGTTATTTTCAATTTGCTTCCTCTACATGATTTATTCATTAAGAAACTCTTTTATACACGGTAGACCCTAAGATACCGAAATCTAATCGACAAGGGGTCAAGCTGGAACTTTTCGAATACCCAAAAATTCACCTTAAAACTAAATCGCAATACCATTTTTGAAACATTAAACATTAATATAATTTACAAAATACAAAAAATTGGCCAAAAACATCAACATGATTGGAAGTTTTTTATATTCTAAATTGTATAAATTTTTCGTTAAAATAAAGTATGAGATGTCGCATTTGCTTGAATGCAGATTTCCAGACTTTCTGCATAATATTCAATAAGGTAGACTCTCAATTGGATTTCAAGATGCTAAAACTAAATACCTTTTAATGCTTCAGCGATGAGAGCCAAATCAGATGTCAGCTTTTTAATCTACAAAAGCAAATCGAATTGACACTGAAAACGAGGAGATAACAATGTGTCCACATGGTCAATAAGTCGCAAGCTGGACTTCAACACGAAAAGCTAGGCAACAACTGGAGAACTACAGATAAAAGTTTTTAAAATAAACAAATCTAATTAGATCTCGATTTGATTAGTTACGCAGCCGGTGGTGGCATAGGAGGCGGAGGATTTTATGCAATTGTTCGGGGAGTTTTGAAAGGTTTGCCACTGTCTGAATATAATAGATATGTAATGAAGTAGCTTCATTCAAAGACTAGAACCCAAGCTCTATTATTGTTGTATATAGTTTTGTTTTGTTATTATCTTATTTTGTTATGGCCTAAGCACGCGTGTCTCTTATTCGAGAGAAAGCGGCGCGGGGTTTTATGCGAACCATCATTTCCTGACTTGAAGACAAAAGAAGGTGTGTAACGGCAAGATTTCTGACACTGGGTTAATTGATTCCGATTGGCAACTTCTCGGTAGCTCACTAACATGCTTGAACCGAGTAAGCAAACTCTTACGCGTATGTCTAAAACAGTTTTGGCTTTGGGCCTAAGCATGAAGAATGGCTTTTGAAAATCCACCATTCAGAGCAGGTTAAATCGCATTGTAAATAAACAGGTCCAAAGGCAAAAGAAATAACTTTCCGGATTTTGGTTACCAATTTAACCCGTTATTCACAAATGATTTATAAAGATAGAAGTTTAGGTTCAGACATTTCTACTTTTAGAATTTGTGCAATTTTTATAACATCAGTTTTGTGACATTGCTCTAAAAAAATCACTTCCATGCAAAATTTACACAATATAAAGCTTCTTTATTGTATAAGACAACTTACAACATTGAATACAAATATAAACAAAGATAATATAATATTAAAATAACATGATTTTTTCAAGTTGGCTGATGCATAAATAATGAAGCTAATTCAAGCCAACTATATAAGTTATAAGATATAAGTTTTTTTTGATCCATCAGAAATATACAGAAAGGACAGCATAAGAAAGTGTATCAGTTGTACGAAATCCCGGATAACGTGAAGTATGAGACCCTAGAAATTCCTATAAACCAACATGAAACGTCAACAAAATTTTGTATATCATTCAACAAACGTTTTTACCATAAAGGAGGCTGAGGGCGGCAGTTGGGAATCTGATGGAAGAACAACATGCAAAAAAAGGGGGAAAAGTCAAACCCAAGAATGCTGAAAACTTTTATTGAAAGATTCTCCCGCTACCTCAGCTAATCAGAGGACTATTTCTTTTAAAAATTAAGCAAACAATCAGCGGATTTTACAATATTGGCAAATATCACTGTCCAAAAGTTAAAAATTTCAAAAATAGACATAACGGAAACTATTAAACAATTCAAATGTCTTGAACAAACTTGAGAATTAAATGAATGGAAGTAACGCTTCACCTGATTAAACCTTGCCACTGTTGCTATGGGTACGAATTTGTCATTGTCCATTTGGGAAACTAGAAAAGACAAAGCGTGTTTCCATTTAACAAATACAAACAAAGAAAACAGTTGCATGGACACCTAGCCTCATATTTCATACAACACCCCCGAAAATCAAAGTTCAAAATAAAAACGCCATTTAAGCCGCCACAAACGCCACAAAATAAAAACGCCACAAAATAAAAACGCCACAAAATAAAAACGCCACAAAATAAAAACGCCAGGTATCACACAGAAGGCAAATCGCTATTTTCTTTTAAACAAACGTAAGTTGGATATTGTGGGTAAAGGTAAAGTTTTGCGGTTTCAGTTAATCTTGATATGGATTTCTGTTGGTATAAAATAAATACCAGCTCTTGCATTACGTAATGTTGTTGCCTCAACCACAAACAAGAAAAGAATGATTTCTTTATTTTGTGGCTAGCTCTCTGAAAATTTAAAACATGTGCATATAGATACGAAAGACAGCCGCATTCACAATTAAAACATAAAAAAGGGTCTTGGGTAACAGGTGGCACCCCATAGATATACAATCCTTCTACAATTCAATTTGATTGTGAGTGATGGAAGGTCTGGTAGCCTTATGGTATCCAGGATCCCCTGTTGTTGAGCAGATATTCAC